TAAAATCATCATTCTAGCATCGATATTGGTGGAGTTATGCTTTAATAAATTTAAATATATATTTTGGCCAAAATTATATTAATTTTGGCTGAAATTACGGAATCAGACCTTAATTTCTGCAATTGTCCGCAATATCGTAAATCGCAATTATTCCGCAATTGCCTATTTGCAGATCCATCCTTAATTGGAAGTTAACTAACATGACTGATGGAACAGGAAAAGTCAATTTGGTTATAATAAATAAATGTACAGCTTTTCAGATAGGTGCTGATAGATTAAATGAGGCCGCCAGACAACCTGAAAATGCAATAATCAAATTAAGAGTTGTAGAAGATCATTGGGATGAAAACTGGCATGTGGCAGGATGTCATATTAATAATGCTCCTATTAATCTACCAAATGCTGGTAATAGTATTATAGTAGTTGTTACTGATATTCAATTTGATCAAGCTGTATGGTGGCTAAAAACTCATTTTCCTACAGTAGAAGAAGAGTTTCAAGATATAATGTATGAAACGATCATAAAGGAAGATATGACTATAGATAAATTATATAGAAAATATTACGAATAGGTAGATGAGCTAAGTATAGACCTGAAAAATTTTGTAGAAAATTCTTAGATGCTCTTTCACTACTATGGCTTGAAAAGGCTGAAAATATCGGTAAACATTTGACATTAGAAGCATTATCCAAAAAGCTTTATGAAATAGAGTTATGTTGAATAGCTAGATATAAAGAGATAGAATAGCTGATTCACTAATATCTTCACAAGCATCTCAGCAAATATATGAACTTTCACCCATTTCTATCCCACAACAACAAGGAATTTCTTTAGAAGATATGCAAAAAGCAATCCAAAATGCACTGGCACAGCAAAAAACTGAATACCAGTCTTTATTAGAAAAACAAAAAGCCGATTACCAATCACAAATGGTTTAGCAAACTAAAAAGATATCTCCACCAGTTTCTTCTAAAAATATGGAACAGATTCGTAATACATATAAAGTGCTAATCCTTTCTCCAATACACTTACTAAGGAAGAAATAATGAGAGAGGTTGCAAAAGCTTATGGACCACCTCCTAAATTGCAAAAGCCAGAAAAGTTGCAATTATCTAGAATCGATAGATTAGAATCAAAGATAGATGAAATTGGTCAAATAACATCTAAGCTTAGTAGGATAACACTTAATGAACAATCTCAAAAACCTTTTTATTGTAGCAATTGTGAACAGGAAGGTCATAAGAAAAATAATTATCCTAACTTAGCTTTTGCATCTTCAGCAAATCCTATAGCTAAATCGAATAATACACATTACTATACTTAATTTCCATCTACGCTAAAGATGCCAGCTGAAACTCCCTCAAAATAATTTCGTCATATCCCTTACTATGTTTTTAATATAGTTTCAGCTAAT